GTTTTCTTCAACATGTTTGGTATATTTTTTTTATAGTGATCTATCTCATCAAATTTAAATTTAGAGGTCTCATCGACCTCCATGTTCGTGCTATCTGTGATATCTGCACCAAGTCGGCCTAGATTGGCCAAAGCGTCTGCTGTTTGATTTTTCGCCCTTACGACGTGGAGAATACTAGTAATATTGAACTTTGTCATATCAGTTCGCACAGAGCGTAATATCTCTTGAGCATCCGCATCCCTGTAGCCACTCCCATTGTTGATTACATAAGCCAAGTTTTTGGAATCTGTCTCAAAAATTAATTTCTCTCTGTCTTCTTTCTTCGGAAAAAGTTTTAAGCACCACAGCAAACTATTCAAAAAGGCCTGTAGCTCTCCTACATTGGTTTTGCCCGATGTGTTTTTCCAAACTTGTTTATGAAGCACCTCCCCGAGGTGGTTTCTGATTACGGCACCACTGCCCTCACCCGTAAGAATTGATTTTTTTACGATACGGCCCTGACTTGTAGACTTTGATTTATCCTTAATCTCCACAAACTTGGCTGAATAATCCATCGATATTTTGAGTTTTCCCATCGGTGGGGCTTCCCACTTGAGACCCAATAGCAAGAATAAAAACATAAAAATTTTAATCAATTTTTATTCAAAATAAAAATGAATAAACAAATCAAAACCTGAGCTGATGAAATGTGGTGGGGATGAATACAGAAAAAGAGAACCTTGGGGGCGGGCTCGGAAGGATGGAGCGGAGGGTTGCCGGAGGAGATCGGAGCTTCGGGGGAGATCTTGGCGGAGTAATGACGGATGTAGGGAGACGAGATTCCAAACATTCTCCGAAGGGCTAACATTGTCATCGGGATGGAGTGAACGCCGATTGAGGCAGAGTTGTCGCGAGAAGAGAGGAGGGTTTTAGGGGGTTCGGGTTTTTATGTTGTGGGAATAGGGTTTTTCTTAATAGACTATCACATATCATTTAATATACTAGCACACTAGTATAGTTTTACTATGGATCTCGTTAATCGACTATGGGCCTAAGAATGAACAAAACCCTAGATTTGAGAAGTGACGGCGGCGGATGGGTCCTTTAAAATTAATAGACTATCCCATATGTTTTAATATACTATCCCATGTATCTAATGCGACTATGGGTTTAGTTGATTGACTATTGGAAAAACCATAATAAATATGGAAACTGAATTAAACAAGACTACGAACGATTTTTAATGTACTACCCAGCACACTTAAATCGGCTGCTATAAACAAATAAAGCAACTATCGATTGGGATGAAAAACTCACTCGACCACAGCGGACAATTATTCCGATTATTGCATAAACCAACTACGAAGCTCATATAAAACAACTCTGGTCCGATCTGCGTGAACCATCCTCTTCTAACTCTGTCAATCCTCTTCCAAACAAACATCATCCGGCGAAAATAACGATGTATATATAATCAAGTATCAACACAACTCTTAAAAACTTCTGACCACCGTAGACATTAAAAAGCGATTAAAACGATGGAACGCTGGATAAATCTTCAAATAAAAAATTCTACACGATTTGATAGACACGATTTGATATAACGGCCAATGATCTGACGCTGTTTTATTCCGTGATTTTAGGCAACGTATTAGCAAATCTCAAATCACGTAGTAAAGGAAATAAATGCGGATTAAAAATAAAACAGGGGTGTTAAAGGAAAATTATATAATAAATTTTGCCAAGTTGTCAAAATTGGGTCTATCTCAAAAAGGGGAAAAAAAATTGGATCTACCTCATTAGAAAATGTGAACAAGGGGGTTATCCCTAATAAAAAATTGCATTATAATCTTTTTTTTTTTATCTTTTTAAGATATTCAACTATTCATTTCCCACAAACATTAAAAAAAAATTGTCCTATTTATTCTAATTTAATTTGAATTTCTTAAAATTCAAAATTAACTTGAATTCCGTCGTCACGGTTTGTTTTCTTTTAACTATGTCATTTTTTGGGGAAAATGAGGGATAATCCCCTCATTAGGTAAAATAATATAGTACAGGCATTTGTAGACAAATCTATTTAATATTTTCTGAATTGTGTGACCCCCTAAGCTTATGTTAATGCCCATTATGTCCTTTTTTGTCCATATTTTTCTCCAACTTTCTCTCTCTTCTCCTTATTTCGCTCATATCCGTCATTTTATATCTCCATTAATTTCTCTCTCTTCCTTATTTTCCTCAATTTTTTAACGTGTTCTTTTATTCTTCTTATTTGTCTCTCTCCTCTCTCCTATCTTTTCTCTCTTCATTCCCTTCTCTCTCTTCTCTCTCCTCCCCAATTTCATCTTTTCCCGTATCTTTTTCTTTTCTTCTTTTTTCTCCCTCTCTCTCTTTTCTCTCTCTCTCTCTCTCTCTCTTTCTTCTTATTTTTCTCTCTCCTCTCTCTTATCTTCTCTCTCTTCTCTCTCCTCCCCAATTTTCTCTTTTCCCGTATCTTTTTCTTTTTTTCTTTTTCTCCCTCTCTCTTCTCTCTCTCTTCTTTCTCTTCCCTCAATTCCTCTTTTCTCGTCTGTTTCTGTTTCATTTTTTTCCACTATTTCTTCTCACTACTGTACCTTTTCTTATATATCTCATTTTTTGGTCCTTGAAATCAATTTATTTTCTACTCTATGAAATTTATGTTTTCATGAAGATGTGATCTTTATCATGAGTATTCAATTTTATAACATCATAGTATTTTAAGTTGAAAAATAATATGGTAAATTAATGGGAAAATTATAGTTGACTACCAATTTTTTTATAGTTGACATTTGAACAATTATAGTTGACTATCTAATTTTTGTAGTTGACTCTGGCAAAAAATATAGTTAACTACCATTTTTTATAGTTGACATCATAAAAATTATAGTTGATTATCTAATTTTTATAGTTGACTTCGGGAAAAATATAGTGAAACTACCGATTTTTATACTGATCTTTCTTTGTTTTGGACTCTGATAAAACAAATTTCATAGGAAAACAAATATTTATGAGTCAACAAATAGTGCGACCATAGATCTGTAGATCTAAAAAACAATCGTGTTTACAAACTCCATTTTTGATTAATCAACCATGGAAGACATCCGAACCGTCGCATATGGTTGTCGCGTACCGCTGTATACCGTTTATGTAGGAGACCTCGATTTTGTCCTTCGGAGTCACTGAAGAAGGTGTCAAAAACAGAAATTATGTGGTAGAGATGGGTATATAGCAAACTACCTGTCTTCTTCTTGCCGTTCTTCACCATTGTTTGTCAACCTGTGTTGCTGAACGAATTGCACAATATAATGGTATTCTGGTTTTTATTTTTCGCTGAAGATGTAGCAAACTAGGGCAATGTTTGAAAGGGAAAAATATCCGATATATATTGCAGTTTGTTTTTTGGGAGAATTTATCGGCATAAATATAGCAGACCAACGGAAATGTGGGAGAAATTATATTAAAGAATATGGTTGAAGATATGCAGTATTTGGGGAAAACGGTAGGGGGTCTTTGCTATCACAAATTATAGGGGTAGTTCAGTAATTGACATTTCTGAGGGGGTTTGACCCATTAAAAATATTATAAGGTGGTTAGCCCTAATATTTTTTCTGATGAGGGGGTTATATCTTATTAACCCCATTTTTTGTAAATAAATTGGAAAAAAAAGAGATAATAAAAGACAAAAAATTTACCATTATTCGGGAGATTTTATTTGATCTCAGTTTTTTTTTTCGACAAATAATTTATTTTACAAATATTTCGCAAACATAAATAACATTGGAAAATTTAATATTTTTTTGATTTCTATATATACGAATTTGAGTTAGTTTTGACTGTACCTTAAGATCAAAATGTGTAGCCTTCATTCTTTAATTTCACCTACCCTAATTATATATAGCATATGTGTGCGTCTGGTTTATTTATAATCCAATTAATTAATTAATTTCATGAATCGTGACAGTTAGCCATGATCACGGGTCGGTTCGGTCTGCAAAATCCGCATTTGGGAAATTGGCCCGTTAACCACAGGTGGGTTAATCATCGACCAAGAACCGTACGGTTTACATATTCTTAACCATTTAATTTAAATACAATCGCGGTTTATTCGATGTTATACCAAGTGAAATACATGGAGTAATTATATATTACAGTTGATGTGCACATAATCACACACAACCAAATGTATGTGTGTTTAGTGAGTGACTATTTAACCACATCTCACTCAGTATAATTTAATTTTTAAATAAATATATGTGAATTTATTATGATATAAGTATGACCAAACCTCATATATAACGGTATCTCTTACCAAATTTCCTAGAATTCATTTATTAATGTTCGAGTACTTTTGTGCATGCTTATCGAACAATAATTTCTCCATGTTCATTGTCTTTTTTTTTCTTCTTGTACATTGAATTCACTCACCTAACTAATTACACTAAATTTTTCTATAAGAATAGAGTATGGTTGCAAAAATAAATCACAAAACAAATTTTATCAATATAGTTTTAATGGCTATTCTCATTTTCTTGCTTCCTCTATGCATATTTCCCTTCGTCGTCGTTTTCTACGAATTCGTAAAGCGACGACAAAAGGGGACGTCGTCATCCACGCCGACCAATTGGCCCGTAGCTGGCCGGTTTCTACACTTTAGTGGAGAAAACGACCCGGCAAACGGTGACAACCGGGCTTGTCCCGGTTCTCGATCATTACGTACGAGAAGGAACCGAGATCGACATGCAGGTTATTCTAGAAAGATTCTCGTTCGACAATACTTGTCGACTTTTCTTCAATCACAATCCATGCAGTTTATCCAAAGATTTGAAGAATCGAGTTCGTTGCGAGAAGGCGTTGAGCGAATCGGTGAAGCCCCTTCTGCATAGGCATGTTTGGCCCGAATCCATTTGGAGGCTGCAAAGTTGGCTTAATATCGGCAACGAGAGGACTCTTACAAAGCTTCCGAGGCATTTGACGAATTCTTTCACCGGCGTATAATTTCCATGGAAGAAGATAACGATTATTACACGGCTAATAATAAAGTCAACGTATTCACCGTTTTCAAGAAAGTGTACGAGGACAATTGTGGCAACAACATATATCGATTTCTCGGGCGATTTAAGACTGGTTTCTGATGGACACTTTTTTAGGGTTGTTGATTGCAGGAAGTGACAGCGTAAGCACAACCCTAACATGGTTTTTCTGGCTCTTGGCCGAAAACGGTTTTGCGGAAACCAAGATTCTTGAAGAAATCGAGAATGTACTATCTCTATCGTCGCACGAAAATCCGATGTTTTTCGGTGTGGAAGAGTGTAAGAAGCTAGTTTACATCCATGCATGTTTGTCCGAAACCCTAAGGCTATTCCCTCCGGTTGCTTTGGAGCTCAAATCTCCGGTCGAACCCAATATTCTCCCGGCCGGTGGTAATAATAATAATAATAATATTAAAGTCGAAAAGAATACTAAAATTATTATTTCTTTCTATTCGACGGGGAGAATGGAGAGTGTGTGGGGAAAAGATTGCTTGGAGTTCAAGCCGGAGCGTTGGATTTTGGCCGGAGGAGAGTTGAGGCACGAGCCCTCGTTTAGGTTTCCGGCGTTTAACGTGGGGCCGAGGAGCTGCCCTGGTAAGGAGATGTCTTTCGTCGAGATGAAGATGGTGGCGGTTGCTATCGTGCACCGCTATCGTGTTCGGTTGGTCGAGGGTCATAGGGTTTCGACGAGGGGTTCGGTTATTCTTAAGTACTAATTATTAATTAATTACTGGATTAATGGATGAACTGATCGATGAAGATAAATTGTTCGTCATTTATTTCTGCAATTAATTCATGTTTTATGAGTTGCTTTTTTCGCTTTATTGTAATAATAAAATAAATTGTTTCTTCAATATTCTACTCTATAGGTGCGGCAGAGTAGACTGGTTATTATATTAATAATGGAATTAATTTTGAATTTTATCAATTTTCATTAAGAGTTTTATATTCTAGTTTTTTTATTTATTTTTAATATGGAATTTTCAACTTTCGATTTGATTTTAATTTCCAAAAATAATTCTAAAAAATTCAGTATTTTTGTTAGCAAAATTACGTTTCTAGTATCAATATTATTATGGGTGAAACCGAGTCGAGTTGAACCGTAAATTTGATTAAATTTGAACTAATAACCAAGTGTAACGTCTAGTTTTCCGAACTTAAATAACATTGCGTACATGTACATATCATTAAAGCCAATTCCAGAAAAAAAAAAAAAAAAAAACCTTAAACAATATTGTCTTCTTACGTACGTAAAACGCTCCGAAAATTTGTCAAATTGCTCGAAAAAACGTATATACAATGCAAATTAAAAAAAAAAAAAATTGGTACAAAAGAACTATATATCAAGATCAAATCTAGCATTTAAAAGCCGAAAAACAAAAAAAAAAATTACTAAAAATCGAAACGAACTTATAAACTATACGAATCTCAACTATATATCAAGATCAAATCTAGCATTCAAAAGCCAAAAGCAACAAAAAAAATCACTAAAAATTGAAACGAACTTATAAACGAGTACTATACGAGATTCTCGGTAATTAATCGAAAAAATACCCATGCATATTTATCGCATGTAATAACAACATGCATGCATGCAAGTTGATGTTTTGATGTATGTATGTATCATATATCAAGATCCATGGATTAGTAATTAACTCGACCCGGCACTAAAACCCGACCCGTCACTAAAACCCGACCCGCCCTCTTCGATTTCATCAGGCGACTGCTCCCTCTTCGTCTTCTTGATCAAGTTCTTATCATTAGCAGTACTTTGATCTGAAGAATTCCTGGAAACTGGGGGTGATGAATAATTGCTATCTCCACTCCGACTATCCTCTTCAGTAGTTGTGTTTTCATGATCTGGCGATAGCAATAATGGACCTGGAGGTAGCGGCGCATTGGGCAGTTCGACAAGTTCATTAGCTGCTTCGCCGGTGTTGCTGCTTTCCTCCCGGCCTCTTTTTCCGGTGGCCGCAACCGCCGGAGAATCCTCCTTCAAAGTTTCCGCCAAATCCACAAACGCCGTGGCGGCATTACCATCAAGCGGCGGAGATGCGGCGGCGGGGGTTTCATCAGCTGCTGCAACAGCCCTCGTAGTCTCGAATTCCACCGCCGCCGCTGCTTCGGTTTTCGGTGGTGATGAAGTGGTAGGGTTTTGTTCCTTGGAATCTGCGCCGCCGTGGTCGGTAGTAATCGTCTGCTTGTCGGATTGTTCGGTGTGGTGGAGAACAGGCGGCGACGATGATTTGTCTTCTTGTTGATTATCCATTATTAAGCAAAGAAAAGTACGTGACTGGTGAATCTAGAGAGAGAGAGAGATCTAGAGAGAGAGAGAGAGTATAATCTAGAGAGAATGTTTATAAGAAGAAAGAAAGTGATCTATTTTTTCCTCTGGGAAATATATATAGAGCGAGATCATCAACTGTTCTCTCTCTCTCTAGACTCTCTCTCTCTCTAGATTCACCAACGTACTGAAACGGAATAACTGTCAAGATCAAGAAATTATATTATTCTGTTTGATTCAAATTAAAGAGTATTCTAGAAGTTACCAATTAAACAATATATATATATATATATATATATATATATATATATATATATATATATATATATATATATATATTGAACTTTACAATTTCTAAATTTTTACAATTTTCCATTTGATTTAGAATTTTGTATACCATTTTGGATATATTACATAATTTATTTATTTTTACTTTTCTAACGTTTTGGATCAAAATCAAAACTATATATAAATCACTAGTAGAAAATTTGTGTTTTACTACGAATTTTTTGGCTACGGTAAAAAATCGTAATAAAAGGTAATTTTTACGACGGAACAATTTTGAATTCGTAGTAAATACTAGGATTTACTGTAGCAAAAAAATATTTGGTACGGTCACTTACCGTAGCAAAGCTTTTGTCACGCCCGTATATGCTATAGGGGGGAATTCGTAGCAAATACGTAGCAAAAGCCTTTTTAATACGAATTTGATACAATTTGCTACGGTTAATAATCGTAGTAACTAGTCATTTTTCTACTATTTTAATTTCCGAAAATTACATATTGTAATATGATCAATACTGTCGATTCCAATCTGAAATTTTCGATTATAAAAAAAATAAAAATCTAAAATTCCAAATTTATGTGTAGTATGTGTATGTAATGTATTTGTGTGTGTGTGTTTGCATGGAAATTAATATACTGTATCATGAAGAAAAAAAAAAAAACAGGAAATAATTAATCAAATATGCAAGGTTCTCATTAATTCATCTGCAAAAAACATTGGAAAAAACAAAAAAATCGAACCGATCGAAGTCGAAACAAATCTTTATCGAATATCAATTATCGAATAATCGAGAGTACTAATCTAGCTAGCATTTAACCGGAAAAAAGAAGCTACTAATCGAAAGAAAATCGAACCAAAGTCGAAACAAATCTTTGTCGAAAATCAACTATCGAATAATCGAGAGTACTACTAACCTAGCATTTAAAAAAACGAAAAAATAGAAGCTACTAATCGAAAAAAAATGGAACAAGGTGGAGCCAACTAATCGAAAAGATTAAGGTTTTTTCATGGGGCAGTCTCTTATGTGTTCGGCAAGTAATTGTGTAGACGAAAACCAAGCTTTCATACAATAGCTGCATCCGTAACTAATATCGCGTGGCGGCGATGCGGCGGTTCCGGCGGCTTCACTCTTCTCTTCTTGAACTGTATTTTCTATAACTTGTTTCTTTTTCTTCCTTGTGGTGGCCGCTGCCGCCGCCGACGCCGCCAGCACCTTTGGTGAGTTCTGTGCATTTGCTGCTAGTGCTCTATGCGGTGCCTTCCGATTACAACTCGTGGACGCCGATTTGTGCGCCACCGCCTCCAGAGCAAGAACACAACCTTCGGCGGTCTCCGACGGCGGCCCCCTCAAAGGTTTTACCGAACCTACTTTTCTGCCGTCGTTATTTCTTGCACCGCTGTTATTTCCGGCAGTCTCCGGCGTCGACCCCATCATAGGTTTTACCGAACCTACTTTTCTGCCGTCGTTATTTCTTGCACCGCTGCTACTTCCGGCAGTCTCCGGCGGTCCCGTCAAGGGTTTGATCAGACCTGCTGTTCCGTCTCCATTACTTCCGGCAGTCTCCGGCGGCGGCCCCATCAAAGGTCTTACCCAACCTACTTTTCTGCCGTCGTTATTTCTTGCACCGCTGCTACTTCCGGCAGTCTCCGGCGGCGGCCCCATCAAAGGTTTTACCCAACCTACTTTTCTGCCGTCGACATTTCTTGCACCGCCGCTAATTCTGGCAGCCATTATCATCAAGCGGCGGAGATGCGCCAAATCCACCAACGCCGTGGCGGCATTATCATCAAGCGGCGGAGATGCGGCGGCGGCGGGGGTTTCATCAGCTGCTGCAACAGCCCTCGTAGTCTCGGAATCTGCGCCGCCGTGGTCGGTAGTAATCGTCTGCTTGTCGGATTGTTCGGTATGGTGGAGAACAGGCGGCGACGATGATTTGTCTTCTTGTTGATTATCCATTAATTAATGACGAGAAAGTAAGCAAAGAAAAGTACGTGCGACTGATTAATCTAGAGAGAGACAGAGAGAGAGATCTAGAGAGAGAGAGAGAGTATAATCTAGAGAGAATGTTTAGAAGAAGAAAGAAAGTGATCTATTTTTTCCTCTGAGAAATATATATAGAGCGAGATCATCAACTGTTCTCTCTCTCTCTAGAATCTCTCTCTCTCTAGATTCACCAACGTACTGAAACTGAATAACTGTCAAAATCAAGAAATTATATTATTCTGTTTGATTCAAGTTATCCCATTCCCATCACACGTGTGTTTAATTTTATTTCAAAGAGTATTCTAGAAGTTACCAATTAATTAAGAATTTTGTATACCATTTTGCTTATATTACACAATTTATTTATTTTTACTTTTCTAACGTTTTGGATCAAAATCAAAACTATATATGGGATATTCAACCTTCCATCCTATTTTAATTTCCAAAAATTACATATTGTAGTATATGATCAATACTGTCGATTCCAATCTGAAATTTTCGATTAAAAAAAAAAAAAAAAAAAAAACCTAAAATTCCAATTTTCTGTGTAGTATGTGTATATATATATGTATTTGTGTGTGTGCATGTGTGCATGGATATTAATATACTGTATCATGAAGAAAAACAAAAAAACAGGAAAGAATTAATCAAAGATGGTTCTCACCTGCAAAAAACATTGCAAAATAAAATCGAACCGATCGAAGTCGAAACAAATCTTTATCAAATATCAATTATGGAATAATCGAGAGTACTAATCTAGCTAGCATTTAAAAAAACCGAAAAAATAGAAGCTACTAATCGAAAGAAAATCGAACCAAAGTCGAAACAAATCTTCGTCGTCGAATATCAACTATCGAATAATCGAGAGTACTACTAATCTAGCATTTAAAAAAAAAGGGGAAAAAAAAAGCTACTAATCGAAAAAAGAAATCGAACAAGATGGAGCCTCTTATGTGTTCATGGGGCAGTCTCTTATGTGTTCGGCAAGTAATTGTCTAGACGAAAACCAAGCTTTCATACAATAGCGGCATTCGTAACTAATATTGCGTGGCGGCGATGCGGCGGTTCCGGCGGCTTCACTCTTCTCTTCATGAACTGTATTTTTTGTAACTTGTTTTCTTTTCTTGCTTGTGGTGGCCGCTGCCGCTGCCGCCGCCGCAGCCAGCACCTTTGGTGAGTTCTGTGCATGTGCTACTAGTGCTCTGTGCGGTTCCTTCCGATTACAACTCGTGGACGCCGATTTGCGCTCTGCCGCCGCCGCCAGCACCTTTGGTGAGTTCTGTGCATGTGCTACTAGTGCTCTGTGCGGTGCCTTCCGATTCGAACTCGTGGACGCCGATTTGCGCTCTGCCGCCGCTGCCGCCGCCGCCAGCATCTTTGGTGAGTTCTGTGCATGTGCTACTAGTGCTCTATGCGGTGCCTTCCGATTCGAACTCGTGGACGCCGATTTGCGCTCTGCCGCCGCTGCCGCCGCCGCCAGCACCTTTGGTGAGTTCTCTGCATTTGCTACTAGTGCTCTATGCGGTTCCTTCCGATTCGAACTCGTGGACGCCGATTTGTGAACCCAACCTTTCGATCTTCCGGCGGTCTCCGGCGGCCCCATCAAGGGTTTGATCAGACCTGCTGTTCCGTCTCCATTTCTTGCACCGCTGCTACTTCCGGCAGTCTCCGGCGGCGGCCCCATCAAAGGTCTTACCAAACCTACTTTTCTTGCACCAATACTTCTTCCGGTGGCCACAATCGCCGGCGAATCCTCCTTCAAAGTTTCCGCCAAATCCACCAACGCCGTGGCGGCATTATCATCAAGCGGCGGAGATGCGGCGGCGGCGGGGGTTTCATCAGCTGCTGCAACAGCCCTCGTAGTCTCGGAATCTGCGCCGCCGTGGTCGGTAGTAATCGTCTGCTTGTCGGATTGTTCGGTATGGTGGAGAACAGGCGGCGACGATGATTTGTCTTCTTGTTGATTATCCATTAATTAATGACGAGAAAGTAAGCAAAGAAAAGTACGTGCGACTGATTAATCTAGAGAGAGAAAAAGAGATCTAGAGAGAGAGAGAGAGAGAGAATGTTTAGAAGAAAGAAAGTGATCATCTGTACTGAAACTGAATATTATTGTTCTCTCTCTCTAGACTCTCTCTCTCTCTCTAGATTCACCAACGTACTGAAACTGAATAACCGTCAAAATCAAGAAATTATATTATTCTGTTTGATTCCCATCACACAAAACTGTTTTATTTCAAAGAGTATTCTACAAGTTACCAATTCAAAAATATAAATATATTGTGAACTTTACAATTTCGATTTGATTTAGAATTTTGTATACCATTTTCGATATATATATATTACAATTTATTTATAATTACTTTTCTAACGTTTTGGATCAAAATCAAAACTATATATATATGTGTGTGATTTTTCAACCTTCCATCCTATTTTAATTTCCGAGAATTACATATTGTAGTATGATCAATACTGTCGATTCCAATCTGAGATTTTCGATTTTTAAAAAAAATCTAAAACTCCAATTTTCTTTGTAGTATGTGTATATATATGTATTTGTGTGTGTGTGCATGGAAATTAATATACTTTATCATGAAGGTAAAAAAAAAACAAAAAAAAGGAAAGAATTAATCAAAGATGGTTCTCATTAATTCACCAAAAAACATTGCAAAATAAAATTGAACCCATCGAAGTCGAAACAAATCCTTGTCGAATATCGATCAACTATCGATCGAGTAATCGAGAGTAATGATCTAGCATTTAAAAAAAAAGCCGAAAAAATAGAAGCTACTAATCGAAAAAAAGTCGAAACAAATCTTCATTGAATATCAACTATAGAATAATCGAGAGTACTACTAATAATCGAAAAGATTAAGATTTTTTTCTCATGGGGCAGTATGTTATGTGTTCGGCAACTAATTCTGCAGAGGAAAACCAAGCCATATTACAATAGCTGCATCCGTATCTAATATTGCGTGGCGGCGATCCGGCGGCGGCTTTACTCTTCTTTTCATGAAATGTATTTTTTATAACTTGTTTTCTTTTCTTGCTTGATGAGTTCTCTGGATTTGCTCTATGCGGTTGGTGTTCTTTCCGATTCCAACTAGCGGACGCCGATTTGTGCTCTGCCGCCGGCAGAGCAAGAACCGATTTCGATCTTTCGGCCGTCTCCGGCGGCCCAGTCAAGGGTTTTCTCAGACCTGCTGTTCCGTCTCCATTTCTTGCACCATTACTTCCGGCGGTCTCTGGCGGCGGCGCCGTCAAGGGTTTTACGGGAGCTACTTTTCTGCCGTCGTTATTTCTTTCACGGCTGCTACCTCCGGCAGTCTCCGGCGGCCCCATCAAAGATTTTAACAAATCTAAAGTCCCGTATTTATTTCTTTTGCTGTCAGTTCCGGCCGTCTCCGGCGGCGGCCCCATTGAAGATTTTATCAAATCTACTGTCCCGTTTCTTCCGGCGGTCTTCGGCGGCGGCGGCGGCGTCGAGGGTTTGCTCAGACCTGCTGTTCCGTCTCCATTTCTTGCACCGTTACTCCCGGCGGTCTCTGCCGGCGGCCCCGTCAAGGGTTTTACCAAACCTACTTTTCTGCCGTCGACATTTCTTGCACCGCTGCTATTTCCGGCGGTCTCCGGCGGCGGCCCCATCAGAGGTTTTATCAAACCCGTTCCGCCGTTAACTCCAGCGGCCTCCGTCTGCGCCCTCACAGATTGTGTCAAACCAACCGTTCCGCCGTCGTGATTTCCGGCGGTCTCCGGCGGCGGCCCCACCAAAGGTTGTACCGAAGCTACTTTTCTGCCGTCGACATTTCTTGCACCAATACTACTTCCGGCGGTCTCCGGCGGCGGACCCGTCAGAGGTTTTACCAAACCAGCCGTTCCGCCGTCATTTCTTTTACCGTTAACCCCGGTGGCCTCCGGCGGCGGCTCCATCAGAGGTTTTACCAAACCAACCGTTCCGCCGTCATTTCTTCCACCGTTAACTCCGGCGGCCTCCGTCGGCGGCCTCACAGATCGCGTCAAACCAACCGTTCGGCCGCCGTGATTTCCTTGACGGAATTTTCTTATGGTGATCCCCGACGGCGAGCCCGCGAAACATTTCAACAAATCCACCGTTCCGTCTGCAGTTGGTATTCCGTGACTGTTAAAATATAGACGTTTACTCCCTTCACCGCCAATATCGCCGCACTCCGGCCACCCGATCAAATTCTTCAACAAATCCACCGTTCCGTCTTCAGTTATCACTCCTTCACTGTTAAGATATCCGGTAGTAGTTGCACCATCATCGACAATACTACTTTCCGCCGTCGACTCATCGGAAGTTGTTACTCCCTCATTCTTGCGGCGGCGGCCGTCCATCTGACCCTTTTTTGTTGCGCCGCCGCCGCCTCCGTTTTGTTGATCTTGATTATCCATTAACGAGAAGAGAAAACAATTAAGCAAAAACAAGAATTATATTTCCAGGGGTGACTGTATGTATATATTATATGCACAGAAGAATAAGGGGACTAGTTTATATAGTTGCAGAAAGTCAAGGGACTATATATATATATATGTAAAATATATGTGTACTGCGTTAAAAGAATATTACGGTATTGCCCCCTTTTCTTTTTTTTTTTTTTTTTTTTTTTTTGTTTGAGGAAAAAAAAACCAACTCAAGAGTAGTAAACTTGAGTTTGTTTGGATTAAATTGATAAAAGTTCAAATTACGGCCACCCCTGAGGTATGAATTTTGATTGGATAATTACAGCAACCTCTCTTTTTAAATATTTTATATATGATTTATATAATTCGATTATTTACCGAACCAAGTCGTATATTTAGTTCGGTAAACAATATGAAATGTTGGCGTACCGAAATTTCAATTCGTTTTACCGAATTAACGTCCCTAAATTTACCTCTGGAGGGATCTTTTCGTAAGATAATACATAATTAGGGTGCCTATAATTACCCAAACATGATGGAGGTTTTATAATTTGACCATAACTCAGGAGTGGCTATAATTTGCCCTCGATAAAAATATATATATTTGGTTCGATTAATTACAATTCTTGGACAACACAATGAAATAGTAGTATAACTATAACATATTAAGGAAATATGAAAAAATATATATAATTATTTTTAGTTGAATTGAATCTACTATTCTTTGGTTAAAATGAAGTCGGAGTATAGTTCAATTTATTTCGTCTTATTTTAATTTCCGAAAAATTACATATTGTACGTATAGTATCAATAATGTCGAACAATCTGACAATTTTCGATCTTGGAACAAAAACAATAAATAAAAATCTATAAAATAAAATTAAAAAAAAAAGTACTTTTTATTTCAACAACTGATATAATTTCAAGCAAAGAAATATCTATGTCATGAACTATACATCAAGAGTACTCTACCATTCGAAACCCTAAACGAAAAGTTACTAAGAATCGAACCAAACTACGACGAGACTCGGTAATTAGTCGGAAAAAAAAACGAATATCAACATTCAAGTTTCTTGATCATCCTCATCCTCAGATGGAGCCAACTCATTGAGATCAAGATTTCTTGCAGAACTTCTTCCAACCACCACCACCGCCGCCTTGCATTTTTTATCAGGCGGCGGCGATGCTGCGGCAGCGGCGGCAACAACCCAGTTCTCCGATTCCAACAGATAATTATCACAGTTGGGCTTTGATCTTTTCTTGCCCATCATCATCATCTTTGAGTTGTTACTATTATTACCACTCTGATGATCACCAGAATCTTTGTATTCCGATCTTTCGTCTAACTTGTCGATCAAGTTTAATTCATGTATATGGTGTTCCGAGTTTTCGTCTAACTTGTCGATCAAGTTTAGTTCGTGTGTATGGTGTATTTCTTTATGCTCCACCAAAGATTCCACTTCTTGATCACCGGTTGGTTCGGTATTATTTTGCAGCCACGTCTCCAAAGATTCCACTTCTTGATCATCGGTTGTAGGTTCGGTATTAATTCGCAGCCACGTGTCCAAAGATTCCACTTCTTCATCATCGGTTGCAGGTTCGGTATTATTTCGCAGCCACGACTCCAAAGATTCCACTTCTTGATCACCGGTTGCAGGTTCGGTAATTTTTTGCAGCCACCCCTCCAAAGATTCCACTTCTTGATTACCCATTTTGAGAAAAAAAATAAACCAAGAACAATTTCCTGGTGGCTAATTATATATATATATATATATATATATATTTATATATAATCTGTGATTAATTCAGAGAACTGTATGTATGTATTTATATTTAATATACCTGTGTTGTGTGTGTTTAACGATGGGAAATGCAGTGACGATATGAAGTAATTTTAGTTATATAGTTTGAATTTAGGGCTATATTATATCTACCGTTTGAATTTAGGGCTAAATTATATCTACCTCCCTGAAGTTTGGTTTAATTACATCTGGACCACAGTTGTTTTCAAAAATTACATATAGCTCGTTTTCTTTTTTGATAATTGCATATATCTCGTTGTCGTTTCATATTAGCCAACATTTGACCTATTTGACCATTTCACCGTTTTTGAAATTTCATTTTTTTTGTGTTAACCAAATTACATATAGCTCCCCTACGGTTAGGTCTAATTACATATACACCATTCACATTTTAAAAATATGACAAATACATCCATTTAACACATAACAGTTAACATAAAAACACATGTCTGATGATAAATATCCCAACAAACCCGAGTCAGTCGAAATGTTCAAAGTCGAAAATTTCTACTTTCATCTCTCTAATCTTAAATTAAAAAAAAAAAAAAAAAAAAAAACACTAATTTCAATTAGACGAAAGAGAGATGAAGGCAAAGGGTTTCTTGAAAAACGACATCTCCAAGTAACGAATCCCGATTACGCCTGCGAAGGTTTGTACTCCAACATTTCAGCTTTGTATCTCTCCTTGTCCCTCAATCCCTTTTCTTGATACACCTGAATAACACAATTTAAATAAATAAATAAATAAGTACAATTTCGGAAATAAATCGGCAGTGCGTTTTTCGTTACCTGTTTCTCGGCCTCGGTTAGTCTGCTCCATAACTGTCCAATCTTTTTACTTATAGTTCTTTCCTGCCCATGGTACAAAGGTCTAAGCCTATGGTACTGCTCGGCGAAAAAGAAAGTGTAGCCGCTTCTGTTTCTCTTTGGATGAGCTGGATCCCGAAACGCCACCTGGTGCTTTCTCCGACTTCGATGATGCGAAGACGGGTCACCCGAGCCACTCATACTTTGCAACGCATTATTCGGCTCCTCGGGGATATGGTAGAGGACACCTGTCAAATTCTCAGCTCCGAAATTCACAGTCACCAAATATCCACAATCGAATTTCGCCTCGATTGTTCCAGTCACTAAACTGACATCTTCCGGAGTAGGACTCTCTGCACATCATATTAATTATCAGAAGAGACACACACACACACACACACACACACACACACACATATATATATATATATATATATATATATATATATATATATATATATATAAACAGAACCTGTGAAATGATCGGAAGCAGCTCCATCATCGAGAGAGAGTGGTAAAGTCGATCCATCGGCATTCCAACTTGCTTGATCTATTGAATAATATAAAGGGATGTTAGTAATTTTAGCAGTAATTTTAGCAGAAAGAAATAATTATTAAAAAATTTATCAAGTACCGTTGGATGGAATGTAGGGTTCTTCTTTACGGAAATAATAAACCTGCTCGAAGTGATAAAGCAACGAGAGATAGTATCTCCGTAGTACAAATGAAGCACTTGTGATAGTGGATGGGAAATTGAAGGCTCCGGTAACTTCCTTCCATCTCCGATCTTTAATAACCTGTAGTATATTCGTAACGAAACTAGTTAATATCTAAAACCCTAAAAATCATACGGTGGAAAACAAAAGAATTATAAAATCGATAATCATATCTACGGCATAAATAAAAGAAGCTCGTATTTGCTAAAAATTGATAATTGCTAATTTTGAAGAAAACGTACCTTTTCAATGCCGCCTCGAGAGGTCACTTCTAAAAAGAGCCGATGCAAATCCAAAGGATTTCTTCCTAATGTAGGAACTCTACATAGCAAAGAACAGAATTCAAGAAATGATGAAAAATAACTATCGACAGTGATCTTTAAAATTCTGGCAAAAGCAATTAGATCGGTGAAGCATACATCACCAGAAAAGACGTAAAACCGACAGAACTGAATCATTCTGGTGAAAATATTTACTTAAACGAGTACCGTTCAGGATATGGATTTACTTCATACAACAGTATGAAGTACATTGACACGTAATTTTTTATGTGATTTTCTAATTAGTCACACAAAAGAACTGTTCGAAATTTGTATTTTTTCTTCTGTATTCACTAATGATGCATTGAATTTGTACGAAGAGGGGAAGAAAACCAGCAAACACAATAACTATTAAATACACTCCCGAAACCCTTATTGTTCTTTTACGAGTGTTTCCAAAATGATGGCCTTAATGGAAGTGTCAATAGTAAAATCAGAACCCGAAACCCGATAATCACCAGTCGGCCCTGATCAATAAACATTATTTCTCAAACTAAAGGACCTCGATCAAATTCAAGTTTCTGCTAAAATCGTTTAACCGAAACCGAAGTTAGTAAACTTTATGTACTTCGTCGGTACGTGCATACTGAAACATTTATAATAGAAAAAACACATTGCACCAAACATACGAGTAAGTGACAAATGGCGACGAACTAATTGCACTACGAAATACAACTTTTCGGTACATAGCTTCATATTTTTACAATAGCTTCAAATCTAACCCATGAAAAAAAAAGGTGTTAATTGCAATAACACAATAATTCATCGTCACTACAAAAAGGCAAAAAAAAAAAAACGAGATCCCTCTTCTTAATTTATGTAAAATGCAAATAACATCTGAACTAAATTTACTGCAAAATTAACTTAAAAAAAATTCCAAAATTAAAAACCACGCCGAGTAATTCCGACACTCGCCCAACAACATGCAAAGTCAAATCACGAATCTAGAGTCGAAAACTCAAAAAACAATCACAATCGAAAAATCAAAAACCCAAATAAAAAATTGAAAAAAAAAAAAAACACAAACACAAATGAAATGAAAAACGAAACAGAATAAAGAACCGAATACCTGAATTTAGTGCCATAGAAAACATGGAAGCTGTGCAGCTTCTGCCGGAAAGTATCCGGCTCCTGAATAATTTCGTGATACTCAGCTTCGGGTTTAGGGTAGGAATAGTACTTTGAAATAGGCTTTTCCAGAGGTGGGTCTTTTGACATTTTTATTGCAAAGACTGGTAAAAAAATTATCGCTACAAAATTGGATGTAATAATTCGGATTAAGAGTTTTGATTTGAGGATTATGCCAATTGATTTATCACAGATTTTTACCCCCTTCCGATTTTATTTATTTCTGGAGGAGAGGATTCCAGACTGTCAGGTATTTCGATATTTATTTACTGGCCCTTACTTAAGTTTTTCATTTCAATTTTGTGACAATTTGTCAACGTGTCTTCTTTAGTTGATGCTTTTGCAACACTTGTAGTAGAGAGAGAATTAAAAATGTTATTAATGTATTTTTTTAATAATAATTGTAATATAACAATAATTATATCCTAATTCAGTAATTTGTATCTTTAATTTTTCTTTTTAGTAGTTATGTATTTTTTTTGGATAAATTACAGTCACCCCTTAGGTAGGTTAAATTGCAAAAAAATTACAACCACCTACTTCAACTATGAATTTTCTTACAATTGTTGTGTCAAATTTAATGCCATCTTTTAGATTATGTGTAATATTCTAATGTTCAAACACCGACAGCGAGGTTGAGCTCCGACTTCACGGTGACACGTGGTGGCACGGGACCACATCACTTTTTTACCAACCATATACAAAACACTATCATATTTAAACACCAAGGATCCGTGGCGCAATGGTAGCGCGTCTGACTCCAGATCAGAAGGTTGCGTGTTCGATTCACGTCGGGTTCAAATCCCCCGATTTAAACAGATCCATTTCTTTTTTTTATTTTTCTTTATATTTTTTCTTATTGTTTTGTTTGTACAATAATACCACATCATTTTAATTATTGTAAATGTCATACCAAATCAAATACATCATATAAACTATATATATATATAGTCTACCACCAAAAATTTATTAACAATGTATATCAAATATATATATACATCTATATAATATAAAATAAAAAAACAAATATAATAATATCGAAAGATTCATCGAATGTGAGGTAGAAAAGTTCAAAAACATCTAAAAAGAGGAGGAAAAGATAAAACATAATATATACAACACATCATAAAAACCTACTTAGAGAGCATCAAGGTAAGAATATTCTCTTCGTCTTCTAAACTCAATAAGCCCACCATAAGTCCGGTCCCAAACTCCGATAAAAAGAGCCTCCGTATCAGGACTAAATGAAATTCCCGACACCTCACCGAAGAAGTCGATTTGCTGCTCCTTTTCGTACCCACTTTCAACGTCGAAAATACGAACGAAATCCGCCGACTCAGCCATGGCCATGAATCTACCGTCCGATGTGTACTTAATGGATCGAACGGCTCCGATTTCGCCCTTCAATGTGTCGACCGATTTAGAAAGTTTTCTAGAATCCCAAATTCGGCAAGTTTTATCTTGATTTCCAGTGGCAAAAGTTACTCCGTTTGGGTGCCATGCGGATGCGAACGAGTGGTCAAGATGACCTCGCAGAGTCGCAATTTTCTGAATTGATCACAATCAACATTCTTTATTATTTTTATATAAGATTTTATTTGCATTCAACACCCCTGTTTTATATCGAATTGCTATATAAAAAAAAACCTCTGATGATGCATTTTTAGGGGTATTTGCTGATAAAATTGAATCATAGGGGGTTTTCTGACAATTGGAGTAAACAGAGGGGTGATGAATGCAAATAACCCTTTTCTATGAATGTGTAAAGGATCTTCATAATTAACATCTCTTTATTTAATTAGAGAAATGAGAATAGTGAAAATTACCATCCCAGTCCTGAAATCCATCAAAATACCATCAGGATCGTCTCCGACGACTATGAGGGTACTGCAGTCCGGGCTGAGAGAAGTGTGCTGCCATGCATACATGAAAAAGTTACGATATTTAATATTTTAAGTTAATTTAAGATATTTACTTGTTCTAGATATATAATTTAGATAGGTATTACCTTCCTTTGTTGGAAGAGAATTCTGGGATTCTTTTCTGTGTGAGTGCGTGTATCTTTGTGTGTGTGTGTGAGAGAGAGAGAGAGAGAGAGAGAGAGAGAGAGAGACTCACATTAGGTGGCCAAGAAAGATGCCAATGGTCGGACAAATGGTAATTTTCCATATCAAAGTCGCGAACTTCACAATCATTATTCGATGCTAGAAAATGGACCGCACCACTAAAAGAAGAGAGAGTACTTTTACGCGATAAAGAGAGAGTCCAAAACTAAGTTTTTATCTTTTTATAAAGAACTAATGGTGAGTTGGTACCTTCTAGTAGTGTATATCTCAACAGCATTAGTGACAGCGTTATCGTCACGGGTTGTCCTTGTGCAGTAAGAAATTCCCGGCCTATTTAAATGCTGCAGTCGAAATCAAATAAATCGACAAAATTTAATATCAAGAAACGGGATATATGAACACGATAAGATATCAAAACCAATTCAAGAAAGACATGTATTCAACTCTCATTCACCAAAGCAACTAATTTAACTCCCGCGGAATAAAATTCGGTAAATACCTTGCAGATAAGTTCTCCATTAAATCCTCCTGCAACTAGCAGATTATCTTTCACTGCTAGTGTGCTGACACGGATCTGCGAAAATCCTTCCATATTGCTTCCATAATGTTCCTGCATTGGGTGAAAAAAAAAAACAGAGAGATTTACACGTATGAAGGCAAAATGGTCAGAAATGTACAAAATAATATACGACCGAAAATGCCAGCTCAAAAGCACTAACCTCAGTAGGAGCAACATGTCCTGATAGATTAAGAACTTCCGATTTGATGTGTGTTAATGAAGACCGGTGCAAAACCGAGTAATTTGACATAAGGTAAACATCGTGCTTCGATGTAGCCCATACCAAATTTCTCAACTGCAAACAGAATATACTTTCTATGGTTAAAAGATGGAAAATAAAACTAAAATCCTCTGTATCTCGATAACTATTAACTTAATTGATCGAAAAAGAAAAAAGTAATTTCCTCACAAACAGTTGAAAATGCTAATTGAGACTAAATAACGAAGACTTGGAGATCTACTTTCGAAGACGATTTAAAAGCAATCATGATCGTATCAGAAATCACCTGATAATGGAAAATTGTCGATTCCAATATTGAATTTGTTCTGAATTCATAGTACGAATGTCCTTTCACAGTCGTTTTGCATTCCTATTCGCAAAAAACGACATCGAGGCAAGTAAACAAAAAGAACATAGCAAAACCAAGAGGTTACAAAAAAAATAGCAAAACCGAAAGATAAACAGCATCTTACGTTTTCCGGCACCTCTTCCGATTGCGCATTCCCGTGATTCTTATACTGTTCCAATCTAGTCTGCCTATAACTCTCCCTATTTATTTCGATTTCTTCCCACGGAATTCCTTGGATATCCCTCCCTTCTCTAGCTTGAGCCATCTTAGTATACCGTGTGCAGCTATTATGTCAAAAGAAAGAAAATCGGAACAATTCACTTAGTTAACTCGAAAATTACGATGGTAACACGAGATTAGCTGTTATCACATTATTTCCTTGCCATCACTGTTATCACAGTTAATCTTTCAATACATTGCAATAAATTTTTTATTTCGTTTTCTAAGACCCTGAAACGATAGATATTCATCGTATCGAGCCAGAAGAAAAAAAAAACACATGAATAAACAACAAAATGCTTGAAAACTACACCTAAAATTGATTACAGAGAATTCCTATAATCAAATCCTACACATAAATTTTTCGATTCTAAAACACCGAACATGTTGCTAATATACAATATAAATCCAAAATTAGTGATAAATAATACTCATTTCATATCAACGTAGAAGCAATTACTCCATAATAAATGATCAATTTTTTATTTATTTTTTTGGGGGGGAGGGTTTGAAACTTGAAACATATGTGATATGACGATTGAGCGTGTAAGAAACATGCATAAAATTCCGTTCGCGATTGAGCGTGTAAGAAACATGAAAAAAACAGAGAAAGGTGAGGAATATTACTGAAGCTTCTCAAATTTCGACGGCGGTGATTCGCCGCTGGGAGGTTTCCGGCGAGCGTCGTTGAAAGTATCGAAGGAAAATAAGAAAGAAAAATTCTTCGTATTTTTTGGTATTTTATATTTATGTTTTGTTGTGAATAATGAATAGTGATACTACCAGAACAATTCTACTAATGCCAGAGCAGATGGTTCTTAATTGACACGGTTACCCTCGAGTTCAGTATTTTCAGGATATTGCAATATTGTCCTTTTAGTTTACTATTATTGCATTGTAAAATTTTATAAACAAATCACATATAATACCATAATTAAACATATTTAACACAAATTGTAATCTAACCAACCAAGCATCTTACTAACTAAATAATTAATTAGTAGAAAATTAATTCAATCTCATCTAATCCGAACTAATCTGATATAGGCAACCAAACGATCCCTAATCATATCAAAATATTCGCTCGTATAAACAAATCTTGATTAGTTCTTGAAAATTCCAATATATATAGTAAAAATTAAACCATAGGACTTCAAATAAAATCGATCAACATCACAAATGTAGCCGCTATAATAATCGTCGAAGTCAAGAATTCGCGTTTATTATAATCTTTCTCCGATAGTGAAGAATGTGGTGGTGGTGGTGGTGGTGGTGGTGGTGGATCGGGGCAGAGGAGGCCTTCTTTGCCTTCACGGCAAAGACTCGCAAATAAGCCCGGTGGGTAGTTGCCGTGGCTATTGATATATCCGAACATGATTTCAGCACAGTCGTTCGATAATTCGTCCAAATAGTCCACAAACGGGCATGCAAATTGTTTGAACGAAGAACAACAGAGTTGAACCAAGTAGGGTTCTTTGCATTGGCTGGTGATTATAGTGTAGTTTTCCTTCTCAAAGTTCACAGGGCAAGCTGCGAATTGTCGACAGTAAAATGTCAGATTTTTATTTGCATTGACCGAAAACGATTTTTTTTTTTTAATCGACGGACTTACGTTTCTTAGCTTGAAGAAGCCTCCTCTGACTAGGAAACTGAGGTCCAAATACACCATCTGCGTCGACGGAATTTCGAAAGAAATACGCAATTGTTAGAGAAGAAAATCGGACACGTAATTTGTTTTGGAGTACGTACGAACCTGGGCTGGAATTAGTTGAAGCAGAAGGAACGGTGAGAAGAGAGAGACAGACAACAATAATAATCAGACAATGCTTGTTGTTATTCCGATTCCGACACATTATTTTCTCTCGTGCGTAGTCAATACTTTCTTGATTCGATCGGTAGAATACATGCGCAGTTTTCACCGCTTATAAAGAAGGAAGAAACTACTTTCTCCATGATCATACTAATTTGCTTTTTTTGGATTAGTTTATCTTTAATCCTAATTTGGGTATTTCCAGCTGAAGTATCTAACCATTGTAAATAGATACATGAGCTGTATGTATCACACTACACATAGGAAATATAACAGAATTGCACAAGATAGTTAAACAGTTTACGTTTCGACGCGGCTTCCCAAAATTGTTAGTTTTCGCGTGAAGAACAGTCACCAACTACAGTTAAACCGATTAGTGAAATTCTATTAATTTATCGAACTAATAATTTAATACATTTTTACCGAGCAGGGACAGAAATAAATTATTATTTAATCGAGATTATTAATTTGAATATTGAGATTATTAATTTGAATATTAATTTTTCGAGGTTCTACTGTATATTGTTCGGTAAATTCAATAAGCGTATTTGCATTAATTTATTTCACAATAACTTTCACACTTTTAGTTTTCGACACACTACTAATATCAAATCGCAGCATCTCCAAACCATCGTTCCTCCTCTAAAAACGACAGAAATAACAAAAAGAAAAAAAAGAAAAAAAAAAAGAAAAGGGAAGAAATGAAATTATATATTTAATTTAAAATAACGTACCAATCTACCAATTCATGAAACTTATGAAGAGGTATGATAACAGCAAAAATTTGGCCTGTATTATATATATATATATATATATATATATATATATATATATATATATATATATATATGTTTCCCTCTCTGCAGATTATTGTTCAGTACTTTCTGTGAGTTAACCACAAGACTGGAATTAGTTTCGCAGCTTATAAGCTGGGAAATTTTTCCTGCCTGGAAACATCTAGAAGCATATTAGAAGCATATTCCTATACTAAATCTCGATAAATTCATTTACATTTACAGGGCTCGTTTTAGTACTTACGGCTCTACGGACTATGGCTTTGCATCCTTTCCTAAACGAGGAAGACTGTAAAGCGTTTTTAACCTATAATTACCGATCTCAATACTTTGACCGAGAAATATTTTCATAGAATTGCAGTTGCAGCTTTACTACCATTCGGGAATAAGGAAAAACGGGCATGAAGGTGTCTGTACAACAATTCGAACCATCCACAACTTAACAGAAAAATCTTCGGCGCTGCATAAAAAACAAGTCCAGAACACATCAGTGATTTGATTTGCAATGGAAAACATACAGTGTAGTACGATTAAACGCCTGGAAATCCAAATGCAGCAAGGGTTCGTTGTATTACAAGTAATTTGTTATCTATATTATATTTGATAGCATGTATTAAAAGTTGCGACTAATTTATTTTTCTCCAAATACTTAATTTAATGTTATCAAATCAATTATTTGTCATTTCAATTGTTGTGCAAGAAGCTGATTATTAAAGTGGATATACGATATCAAAACTTTTCGGTTTGATCCATTATCAAGCAAATTGGTTGATTATGTTGATAAAGGAATGACTTACATGAAATTTTGACTCCCGTATATTTTCCAGTAACTCGGCAATCTCGTGCTGCTTCAGGACTGTAGAATTTAATGCCTAAAAACACAACACGATAAATGTATATAAAATATCAATTTATGTTAAAATATGTGATTTAAGTCAAGCAAATATGACTGATAATTACCCTTCTGGTCTTCTCGAGGTCAAACTCAACAGACTTGATCCTGTCCATAGATCGAAGAAGCAATTGTTCCTTCTCCACTGGAATTTCAGCAGGCTTCTTGTCGATCTCTTTCAACAAATTCTCGAGTTTCTGAAGACGCTGAACACATGGAAGGACCCTATCCTCTCCACTAGCAGAAGCTTCTACACTAGTAGGCAAACGGCTGTTTGATTGCAGTTCGTTTTCCAATGCATTGGATGGATATATGTTGGTTCTTCTCCTCCAATATTCGACACGTGCATTTTGGATAAGTGCAAAAAGCTTGAGCATAATTGATACTAAAGTTCTTGTCATATATCGGAAACCTCTCTTCACAACTTTCTCCTGGATGGAATCCAACCAATACATAACCAATGTACCTGATGCACAATTTGATAACAATAATTTTAGGCCAGCAAATGAGGAAATGGGGTTAAACTGTGGAAATTGTTCTAGTTAACTTTCAGCTTTCGTTTCGTACAAATTTCAGGTAATCGATAATTTTTTTTTTACAATAAAGCTGAGGAATCTTTATGGCGTGTTTCATTACGAAGAGGAAAAGAAAAGCCAAGCACGGTATCAACAGCATTGCCAGAAATGCATTGGAATAAAAAGAAAATAAAATGTATTTGTAGGCTTTACGGAAAAGGGAAAAGAAAGATGCATCGTCGTTTATTGGAGAATATAAAATAATAATCCAACCCAGCCACATTCGAATTTCAAAGTTAATTTACACAGAACTACAATAGTATTATAAAGAAAGAACTAACCATTTGGTCTTGCATTGCTATTTGAATTTCCAGCAACATTCATGTAGAAAAACTCATCTTCCGCTCCTTGTTCATTGTCACTATCTCTATCAACTGGACCGAAATGATCTTCGCAACTATAGTAGATACATGGATCTGATGTTTTGGCCTGCAAAAATTAAATCCATCAACACATGAGCATGTATGGATTGATTCATATGCATACGACATAAGGTCAAATACAGTGATTATTAACATGCAATGAAACTTACTTCTTCATGAACTGGGGTCAATCGTGAAATCACCTTACTATTTCGTCTGGTTGGAGAGCAAGGATCATCCCCGTCGGATCCTGATTCAGCTAGAGATGTATCACTGGATCGTCCCTGTAATTTGATACACCACAGATATTACAAAACATGGTTAATTACTTAAGTACATGATTAATTATACGAAATCATAATTTCGCACTTGCTACCTTCTGTGACCGGGTTCGTACATACGAGTCAAACTTCGTCCAATCACTAGCTACTTTGGCAATCTGCCTCATGCAAGTTGCTTCACCATCATAGACAAGCTGCAAATGAAAATATACTTTAGGATAGCCTAGCAGAATGATGCTAGTCCCTAGGAGTAATTTAACCACTGTAGTAACATATGTACCTTCATTATTTCAGGATCATTCCAAGGACCCTTATTAGACCTGAGGCAACCTCCCTCAACATTACAGGTGCATGATCCACCCAAAAAGTCGGGCAATTGACTGGGGAGAATTTAACAACTAGTTAGATGGTTTTTAACATGAAATTCCATTCAGATGACGAGAGTCAAAAGCAAACCTTGGATCAATGACTTCCAGTAGCTTCCCTAAAGATTTCGGATCCAAAACCTATAAACATAGACAATACATTACATTTGAAATCAAAATCAAACTGTAATAAATGGAAAAAAGGTGAAACAAGGCGCAAAATAAAAACAATGTATGACCATTACATGGATTTTTGCAATAGTTTTTGGATCCAGAAACTTCTGTGCTGCAGGCCAAAGGACCTTTTTGAAACCAGTTCCAGCATTAACAACATACATGCGGTGCAGAGTCTGATATAGTTGAAATGGTTAGAGACAAATATATGGGCTATTGATTGTGACATAAGAAAGCATATTCATGGTTTGTAAAGGAAAGGAACAAAATGGCTACAAACTAACAAAAATACCTCTGGATAATAATTATTGTCAATCTTTGTCACGGCTGCCAATAGACTAGCGGCAGTCGTCGTGAAATTTTTAATCCCCTGCAGTCATCGCGAGCATTTTATACAACATTAAAGTTTCATTCCAATGTTAGTCACAACACACAAGAGAACACTTAAAACTGCCAGCAGAACAATAACAGTCTCTGACTTCCGTAGGACTCAATTAACAGAATGTGGCATATTGGCATTCCTAATCTAATGATAGATAACCGTGATGCTATATAAAATTAGAATTGGATCATAGACTTAATGCCTCAGAAGTCAATTAGCATAAAAAATGGAGCAGATATTTCTTTCCAGCAGATGTAATAAGAAATTATTCGTAGATTTACTACAACACAGTGTTAGGTAGGATTATTTTTGAGGAATTGAATCAACATACCAGGCCATGTACATCCAAAATTGTAGTTGATGAGCAGATCCGTCTCTTAGCAGCGATGGAACAAGCTGGGAACTTCTCGTTTATAGCTCTCTCAAATTCCTGAACATGATATTTTACGTATCTTTCAATTGAAGTGACGCGCATTAGTTTACTTGGGTGAGCTTTTCCAAGCCTTTCGATGTAAACAGGTCTGCCTTCTCTATCAACTCCGTGATACCCTTGAGGATAATACTCCAAGACTTCTTCCAGCTCCTCGAATTTGAAGTCCTAAAAATCAATAATCAGTGAACAGTGTATGATAGCAATATTTCTGGAGCTTTCCTCCATGTGTGTGTGTGTGTGTGTGTGTGTGTGTGTGTGTGTGTAAACAGAGAGAGAGAGAGAAGGAGAAATGTATTAAAGATTCCAGACTCGTAACTACAAGGAAAAATGAGCATAAGCATGGAAAATATCAGCATTGTGATCATTTTCATTACCTGCAGGATGGTATCTGCTCCAAACTCCTTCCTCCAATCAAGCAATTCCTCCCACATCTGGATTGTCTTACTAATGTCGAAATCTCTAGCTTTCAAGAATCTGCATATTAAAAATTTCTAGTATAAGCTTAAAACACTGGATCTTGCTGCAGCAAAACAATGCTCAATCTAAAACTTTGAACATGGCTAATATGAGTAGGCAGGCACCCACCCGCTCCCCCAAAAAAAATATCTTAAAAGCCCCCGGAGAAATGAAAGTAATAAAATTGTCACTAGTAGATGTCAACAAATTTTCCAAACTATATTTATTACAAGCTCTGTTTACTTTCTTCTTCTCTTGCAACAAATGCTATCACTTGCGAATTCCATGGCAAATAAACAACTACAGCTAAATTTCTGGTTTCACGTCACTTGAAAATGAAAAGATTTAAGTATAGAAAAGCTACCGTGTGCGGTAAAACATATCGGAAGCAGAGGAAACACGATTGTAAAAAAAAAAAAAACTCACCTCAGCAGAGTATGATAGTCATCATGTATAACTGGCAATAAATCGCTGTCAATTAGTTTTTGACGCAGTTCACAGACAGCACTCTCCTCCCTTGGATCACGCAAGTCTTCAATAGAAACTGAAGGCACTCTAAAATCAACTTTCTTTTTCCCTCTTTTTTTGAGAGAATGGGTGAACTTGGTTGAAGCATTTAAGGCCTTCTTCTTCAGAGACCCAATCTTTGATCTCCTTCTTTCGTCTTCAGAGTATTCGTAATCTGATTTCCTCTCTCTTGTTTCATCATGCACCTCTAGTCCTTCTACAAAGGAAGTAAGAAGACACTATAATAATCTAAAAACAGCAAATGTGTCTAGAGACAAATCAAAAGACAAAGCTACGCACCTGACATTTCGGTCAGGTTCAGAAGGAAGAGGCTAACGGAGAAAATATCTGATCCTCAAAATTCAAGGCATTCAGGTCCCGAAACAAACCTCTCAAGTAGAACTACATCATACATGGAACAAACAAATTAGTATCACGGAATTAACTAAATAATCTATTCTGCTAAAGAAATGTTATGCAGGAGGGGTTAGAAATCAACTTGCACATAAAACAAACTTAACGATGCAAGTTATTCTAATTTAAGGCAAAAAATCTTAACCAGCTTCGCCTCATAAAACCACTTTAAATTAAATCATTGCCATTTGTCAGACGCACTAAGGGCGAAGCTTTAAAATCCGCAATTATCACAACTTTGTCCGGCCTTTGCAATGTCATTAACTGTTGCATTTCTGTTCATTAAGTGTAATTAGATGGAGCTACTATGATCTGATTAATACCCAGCTCAACCGAAAATGCCCGATTAACGACAATTTATTGAGAATAGCTAAATATGTCATTGTCACCAATTCAACCCATAATTCAGAAAACTTAAAGGAAACTATAAAACTCAGACTTGGTAATCGAATTAGACAAGAAAAATAAAAAAATATTAGGCACAAAAGTCCAAGCAGGGGGGGGGGAATAATTATTCCCATCAATTCATTGCACATCAACCATTTGTAATAAAACCAAAAAATTTCAACAATGCCACTAATTTTTTTTTTCTTCCCTCAGATCTCACATCGCATCAAATTCAGCACTTTATCCGGATAAGGAAACGCATGCATCCATCAATCGCCAGATTTAACAACATACAGTGACGACGATAAATAAAAATTAATGCGAAAAGAGAAGCTTACATAAACCCTAGTATCAATCTCAGCTAGATCGCAATCGCAGAAGCCTGTATAGCATTGATTCCTCTCGTTCCCCCAAAAAAAAAAAAAAACCTTAAAAAAAATCGAAGTTTCCCGAAAAAAGTACAGCGGAATTTCCTCGAGAGAAGAATCCTTCGCAATGGAGATCGAATGAAAACGAAAGATCTGATAATAATTAATTATTAATATATATAAAAAAAAACGGATGATGAAAAGGTTACGTATCGGCGTGTATGTATGTATATATGTATGTATATATATGTGGGTTTTCTCTCTCCTCTGATTTTTTGTGCTCTCTCTTTCTCTCTCTAAAACAAAACCAAATTCTGAAGCTTTTTCCAGCGTTTCATATTATTTTGTCCCTTTTTATTCTCGCTGACGTGGCCTCCTCCTTGTTTTTTTATTTTATTTTTTAATTAATATTTAAATAAATAATATATTCCTTTTTTCTCTTTTGCTTTCGTTTTCAATTAAAGAGGAGCGAAAATAAAAGTGCTGGCGGTAAAATTGGAGGCAGCCGACAGGAGAGAGAGAAAGTTGTTTAACTGATTATTGATTCTCTGACATTTTATTAATTAAAAAAGGTAAAAAAAAATAAAAGTTACGGCGTGGTTAAATTACCCTTTTTACCCCTTTTGGATTTACCCGAGGCAGGGAAAAAGTCGTTGGTACAGTGAACCACTTTTGGGCTATATAGTAGGGTTGTTTTTTGACCCGGAAAGTAGGTCAAATAGTTTTTTGACCCGGAAACTAGGTTAAATAGTATTTTTTTTTTTTGGTTTTATATAGTGAATAATTTTATTTTATTTTACTAAATATAGTGAATAAATATTGGTCGAGTGAAAACTACAATGATTTGATTTTTTTATTTTATTTTATTGTTACATAATAATTAATCTTATTTTGCAATGATTTTATGAATTGAAAAGAAAGAATTAAAATATCTTACCACATATTTACATTTATATTGTTATTAAAGACATTAATTCTCTACAAAATTTGTTAGAGTAAAAAGTTATAAATAAATTTAAAAAAAAAAAAAAACACGAATTGCGTATCGTATTCGCAATTTCTGAATTAATTATTTTATAGGAATATTTTATATATTTTTTCTAAGTAGATTTTTGGTTCTAATAAAGTCTTGAAAGAATTTGAAAGTCGAAATATACGGAACAGAATTAACAAAAAAATCGAAAATGTATTTGATATACCTAATTGGACTGCTCCAATAGACTCATCAATTATTATTTATATTGGATCATCAAAGTTAATGGGCCCGTTTCATTATCGTACTTAGATTTACTCTCTAATCAGGATTCTACTAATTAATTACGAATAATCCATTTTTATAGTTTTAATCCCAAAGAAATGCCATTATTATGTTTTGTTGAAATGGTATTCTAATATCACGTGAGAATAATAATGTCATTAAATTCTTGTTACATTTAATGGATAAGGGGTGTGATGGGTATTTAATGGGGTAGGTGTTTTTCGTTATACATTTATGAAGGGTAAAAAAAAAATGTTCTATCAATTTATTTTCGGCAAATTACGGCAAGCCCTCGAGATATAATCAAATTACAAAAATGTCCCTCATATTTGAATAGTTACAACCACACTTCGATTATGTATTCTCTTAGAATAAAAATCCTTTTTCACTAGATAAATTTTGCACCATAAAAGTAGTGAGACAATACATAATTGAAGGATTCGATTGTAATTACCTAAACATGATAAGTTATTTTTTGTAATTTAACTTTACTACAGAGGTTGACGGTTAATGCCCGTCTTTTTTTAATATATCAAGAATCAAATTGATAGAACTAGACAATACCTTTAAAAAAATCAATACTTTTACTTAATTGAACTATTGACCGACTGATTTTTAGTAAGTCAATCTTGTAAGTTAGAAAAAAAAATGTATTTTTTTTATATTTTATTTCTACTTATTGCTTATGCAAAAGAATTCTAAAAATATATTTATATAGGGTAAATTACGGCCAGACCCCTGAGGTAATGTCAAATTATGAAAAATCCCTTATGTTTAGGTAATTACAACCATCTCCTTAACTATAGATTATGTTACACATCCACCCTTACAAAAGTCAAAATTGTCTATTGAAGGAAGTGGTTTTTCGTAAGACAGTACGTAGTTCAGGAGAGTGGTTGTAATTACCCAAACATGAGGGATTTTTTTGTAATTTAACCTTAACTCAGGGGTTGACCGTAATTTCCTCAAAATTATATAATAATCAAGAAAATGGGGCCCACTAGAAAAGTCAAAACATTTAAAAATCATCATAAATAAATTTGATAAGAATAATATCTAACTAAGCCAGTGTGGTTCAGTATGCTACCCTACTAATAAGCTGTAGTAAGCTTTTATCATGAGTGAGTATTGACTTATTGTACTAGTTCTAGTAAGTCACTATCACTTATTTGAAGTTTTATTCAATTTTAACTTTTTCGAAAAAAATAAATTAAAAAAAAAAATCAATCAAAAGATTTTATTCGGGCATATGGTCAGATTTTATGTCTTCATCTCTAAATTATACTTAATTTTGATTTTAACAATGTTTTTATGGGTAAATTACGAAAACACCCCTCATGTTTGAGTAATTACAACCAGCTCCTCAACTATGAATTTTCTTACACGTTCACCCTTGTTTGTGTCAAATTTAGTGGGATCTTTTAAATTATGTGGAATATTCTCCAATTTGTACCCGTTTTGTCATGTTCGAACCCCACATTTTGAAACAAGGTGATTATAAGGTGAGTTTCGACTTGTAAATATCAGATTGTGGTGCATCATAAACTGTATTTTTGGCCCAAAACGAGTACAAACTAGAGAAGATTCCATGGAATCTTGAAGATTATGTTGAATTTGATATAATAAGGGTGAATGTGTAACAAGATTAATAGTTGATGGGCTGATTGTAATTACCCAAACATAATGGAATTTTCATAATTTGACCTTGCGTCAGAGAGGTTGCCGTAATTTAACCGAAAATCAATTTATATTATAGGTTTTAATAATTAGAGTTTATAATTTTGAAGATTTAAAAAAAAAGTTGCATATAGTTATGGGGCAGTGAAAAGAAGCAGCTTTTTACATGAGCTGTATATATATATAGAACCCACATATTTAATGAGTAGATTCAATCAAAGAAGAAAACTGAAGTATGTATACAGCTCAATTCACATGTCAAAATCTTTAATTTTAATCAAAAATTAATCAAATTTTTTTTGGCACGACGACGAAGAATAAATTAAATTAATGTCGGAATTTTTATTAGTTTCCGGGAGGAGAGGTTTTTTAGTAAGAAAATACATAGTTAAGGGGTGTGGTTGTAATTATACAAACACGAAGGATTTTTTTTTTTTTTTTTTAATTTGACCTTAACTCAGGTGTTCGGCCGTAATTCAACATTTTTATATTATATAAAGATGAAGCTGAGAATTTAAAATTAGAATATTTTTTAATAAGAATTAATAAAAGAAAATGATTTATAATTTTAAAAAAAAGTGGATTAAAAATGCAGAGAAATTTATTATATGGGCAGAGTAGTACGTAATGCATTAATGAGGGTACCTGTTAAAAGTGAATGCAGTGAGTCAGTGATAGAGCCCTTGCAAAGGGCAAAAGGTGAAGGCAAAAAAATAAGCAGACACGTCATTTTCGATTTATTCTATGTTACTCTCTATTAATTTTCAAAAAAACCCCTTTATTTTGAAAAAATACATCCAGACCCCTGTACTCTGTAAAATTTTACATCCACCCCTATAAAAGGGTGTTAATGTAGAAAAATTACAATTGCAGGGGAATGGATGTAATTATGCAAAAATAAGGGTTTTTTTTGCAAATAGACCTTATCTCAGGGGCATTTGTAATTTACCCTAAATTTTAATTATCAGATTATATTTGTGTTTTAATGAAAATTATTTCTGGAATATTTATTTATTGTTTTAAAAAAAAAAAGATTCTCATGGGGCCAAGCTGGAAAAAAAACACACAGATACACATGTGTGTGTCTGTGTGTTCTTGATCTGCAGCTGCAGTACTGGGTTGTACGTGGAAGCTAGATATTGCTAGGCTGGCTGTTTACTACTGATATATACGTACATGCAGGTTTAGTACTAGTTGTACTATGTGCTGTGATGTTTGGTCTATTTCAATGCACTTGATAATTGATTTTTTATTTATTTATTTTTAATCATAATATACTCCATCTTACTCATTGTACACTGATGAGCATTAAATAGGGTCCCAAATAGCTAAATGATTATGTAATTATTATTAAATAATTATTACAGGTGGAATCAATATAATTGTCTGACAATTGCGTATTTAGGTAATTTCTGTGTTTTTTTTTTTAAATAAGTAATATGATTGAAAATAAGATTTTATTCTCATAGCAATATAATATGAAATTATTACAGGGAAATTTACAGTTTTCACCCCTTAAGTTTACAACGATTTCACATTTAGTCTATTATGTTCACAAAAAACACATTTGGTCCCTCATGTTTTAATAATTTGACATTTTTGGTCGTTTTCGTCAATTTACCGTTAGTCCGTCAGCTACAGTAGTGAGGAACATACATTTGGTCTCTCATGTTTTAATAATTTGACATTTTTAGTCGTTTTCGTCAATTTAGCGTTAGTCCGTCAGCTACAATATGAAGAAAATTTGAAGGAAATGACTAAAAATATTGAATTTTTGAAATATGGGGGGCAAAATATGTTTTTTGTGAACATGGGATACCAAATGTGAAATTAGTGCAAACTTGAGGGATGAAAACTATATTTTTTTCCAATTACTATACGATTAAGTTGCATGTATAGGCTAATTTTCACACAATCATTACCACATACATACACGCAAATGCGCACAAAATATTTTATGTATCTACACACATTATGAGAATATATATAACCCTATATACCCACTAATAACCCGATAAAGTTCAACCTAGACCGTTTCTCCAGGTATATATATATATTTGGAAGTCCGATTATTTCATAGACTCGATTATTACTTCATAGACTCGCATCGTGAAATTATCATTCCACAATCCACACCATTTCAAAACAAAGAATACCACGAAGAATCAATTTTACCTACGAAAAAAGCATACAAATTCTAATAAAACGAAAATCAAAACGAACAATTCTCGTCCAAACAGAGTTTGCCTGTTCCACCATTCCAATAACATGAGATATAAGGAACTTACAGGAGTTTCAAGATTTCAGCACATGTTCTTCTGTTTAAGACTTTATTAACCCTAGCAGAAATGAAATATAACGCAACAAAGTTTGATTGCAATTTGACATATTACTGTAAGTTTAACCCATAGCATACTTCTGAGTCCATGATCGAGCAGTGTTCTCGTACTTGGCTCTATCAGTCTTGTACATGTGTGCAATCTCCGGCACAAGAGGGTCATCCGGATTTGGATCAGTCAACAATGAACAGATAGAGAGCAGCACCTGCGAAAAAAAAGAAGATTTTTTTTTTCTTTCAAATTCATATTATTTGTTAACACCCATAAATTCGGTAACATAAACGATAATAATAGCATTATAAAGACTATCCGATGTACTATATTTCACATTTATCAAAACCATAAATGGGATGAACTTATCATTCAGACAAATTTATCCAGTAAGGCTTCGTTGGTTCCTAAGACAAGATTAGCCAATCTTTTATTCCATTATTTTCAGGTCGACCCGGAAAATTACTGGGTTCACCGAACATCAAACAAAGTCCATTATCTAATTCATCATCATCAATATAACAAAGTGGATGGTTAAAATATACAGGATACCGTGCATAAAAACCCATGAAAATGGAAGAAAATAATAAATTCAATTCAGATAATACCTTTGATATTGTAAGGGCAGGGCTCCACTGCTCTTTGAGGATATCAAGACAAATACTACCATTGCTGTTGATATTCGGATGGTAAACCTTAGTTTTGAAGGAAACCTGCTCACAAGAATCAAATTCATACATTACAAAAAACACTAAAACTAAGAAAACTTCGTTCAGTCTACTCTGCCACACCACAACATCTCCACATTCAACAAATTACACTAACAAATAACAATCAAATGATCAATACTCAATCCTGTAAAATACGATCTGATTAATATCACCATTCGCCAAGAATCATGGAAAACATGAACTACCAATGAAAAGGTTGAAATTAAAAATCAAGTGCACCTTCGGTGGTTTGAATGGATAATCAGGTGGGAAGTGGATCGTCACGAGAAACACCCCTCCGGCGAATGGGCTGTCTGAAGGACCCATGATGGTAGCTTGCCAGTGGAACATATCCTCACCAACAGGACCTGCACAAAGTTACAAAATCTGGATGAGCTTACAATAAATAAATAAATGCCAATATAAAATGCTTCAGAATATCAGATGTAAGATATTGCAAATTTGCAATAACACCCCTACTTAAATATGAAAATCCTTGATTAGCATTTCCTGCAAAATATAAAATGCTTCAGAATGATTGAATACCAGCACTGCAGGAGGCAGGGGGGTCCTTTTGCAAGTCCTTCAATTCTTTCTGGATTCTTTTGGAAGCCATCGCGTTGTTCTTGAAATAAAGAGCACCTACAAAATTATTACATACAGAACAAAATCAATCCGTGAGGGATGTTAAACATAATACAAATCAAGCAAAGTCATCCTAGTATGGACAGAACCAACCCTATCGACGCTACTTCCCGGAAAATCGGGAAAATTTGGAAGTATGTACGAGAAAAACGAGAGGTCGTAAGAATTAAGGTGGCCACCTGCACCCTTATCATTTTTAACTAAATCTATTTCGTCATGATATATATGAAGTTTCAGACAATAAGGTGAATATGAAAATTTAATCTCACACACTACAACCTCTAAATTATTTCCTTAAAGTCGATTGCAAACACCAACAACTTTTCGAAACAAGCAATTATCTCAGGTTTTACCCAAAATCACCGACCTCTAAACGAACAAAATCTTATGCAAACACAATCATCATTCACCCACATCCAAAAACAGCCAACCGACAATATAAAAGGCATTCACCCAATTTTTTTTCGTTTTTTTTTTTCCAGTGGCATAGAAAGTAATTAAATAACCCAAGAATGTATAAAAATTGCATACAGAGAGAGATACATCTACTGACGTCCAACCAATTACAAACCCTAATCAACAAAAGAACAACTATTCAAATGCATTATAAACAAATAATTAAATAAAAAATCTCAAAATATTCCCACCGGCCTCCTTAATTCTCATAATCATATCACCCAAAATTAAAATTAAAATAAAATAAAATAAACGATTTCATTTCACATACGCCGCACGCAAACACAAAATCGCATCACCGCCATCATCCAACCACATAAATAAACACAAACATAAACGATTTAAAAAAAAAACAAAAAAGAAACCCATACCCTAGAAATCAAACATGCATGAACACCACTCCAAAATCCACCAACAAATCAGATTAAACGAAACAAACAGATAATCTTACCAACTATAAATAAACAAACAAATAAAAAATTGGGGGAGAATTTCTTACGGTTACGCACCCTCGGCGAGAGAGCGAGAAAAACCTAATTGAGGAGGAAAAATGGAAAATTGGGGCTAAGAAGGAATTAAATACAAGAGGAGGAGACGCTTTTCGCTGCTTTCTCTCGCTTTGCATCAAGGGAGAAAATAAAGATACGATGCGTCCGCCTTTATATACACTCTCCCCACGTGTCACTCCCTTTGGCGGTGCAGGTGGGCCCCACCTAAATATTTTCCCACACGTGTTGCATTTTATTATTTGTTTTCTCAGTCGTACTAATCTCAACATGCTTTTGCCGTTGCATTATTTTTTTATAAAAAGGGTAAATTACAAACACCCCCCTAAGGTATGATCAAATTACAAAAACACCCCTCTTGTTTGGATAATTATAACCACACCCTCAACTCCTTAAAATTAGTGGAATCTTCGAGATTATATGGAATATTGTCACTTTTGTACCCGTTTTATCCCGTTCGAACTCTACATTATGAAGCAAGATGATCATAATATGTGTTTTTTAGCTTGTATATATCAGTTTGTGGTGCATCGAAAACTGTATTTTTACACAAAATGAGTACAAACTAGATCACATTATACGGAATCTAGATGATTATGTTGAATTTGACACCATAAGGGTGGAGGTGTAAGAAAAAATCATATATGAGGGTAGATATAATTATCCAAACAAGAGGGGTTTTTTTTGTAATTTGACTATACCTCAGGGGTGCTTGTAATTTACCCTTTAAATAATAATATTTTCGCACACGTGTCAGATTTATTTTTGTTTATGTTAATTTCCATTTGATTTTTTTGGTGCATGGAATTAAAATTTAAAAGCCCTCTATTTTATTTTATTTTATTTTTATTATATATATATATTTAAATTACTTTAAGATCAGTCATCAAGATTTGCTGGTAGCGTGTTCTCCACGAGAATTCAGAAATTCAATTAAGATAAATAAATAATTTCCTATCATAAATTGATAAATCTTATTTTATTATTGGGGTATTAGAATCACTTTTTGGAAAAATTAAAAATTAACATATTCTATAACTTTTAATTAGTGGTGGGTATTATTAAGGCATCATTTGCTATTGCAAATAATTTAATTGATTTAATATTAGTTATTCTTTTTTTTTATGGGCCACAATTTTTTAACAATTATCCAATGAAAGCCCATCCTACTTATGGGCTTTACTGTTTTTAATCATAATAAATTAACAAGAATTAAATGGGTATTTGGGTTCTTGTAAATTGGAATATTTATATGAATTATAGACATATATATGTATGTAACTAAAAATTAAACATATTAGAATAACATGAAATATATCTATATAATATATAAATTGAAACCCTCATACCCTAGAATTACGACATGTGTCATCCATGTAAGTATCCATGTAGGAATCCTATTCATCGCCTATGTGTCAATATCAATTTAATTCATTTGAATAAATTATCAAATATCTTATATCCTAATATAACTTATATCATAATTTTACTATTTATGGCTTCCAATATTTACGCCATTACATATCAACTATTTAAGGGAAATATATTACTCATATATTTAATATATTTTAATATGAAGCTAATTAAAAGATAATTATTTAATGATATAATATAATTAAGGCAATTATTTAATTGCATCCAAGGACTATTTTTACTGAATATTAATATGAAGCTAATTTGTATATTAATTAAGACTTTTGGATTATTTTAAATATCATTTACGTGATTTTTTTTCATTCGAACCCTATTTTATTTTTGAACTCCGACATCTTTTTTTCAAAATTCTCATAATTATTTTATTTTATTTTATTTCTATTAATGTTCTAATTTATGGTAATAATTTAATTAACATTTAAGGTACAGTTCAATCTATTTTTGTTTAATATTTTCTCATATTCTTTAAATATGGAACATAATTATCCAATTTTTTAATATATCTATTTTTTAGGAATTTGATGATTATGCTACAACTATCATTGATTATATATTACATAAAACCATAATTTTTTTATTGATTTAACCATAAGGAAATCATCAATCAATCCGTAAAAAAATCTCCATTAATAATTACCTAATTATATTAATATTAATAAGAATATAATAACCTAATTTATCTAAATCTACAAAGATCTTCTTACATTTCATCCAAAACACTATAAATACTCCATCATTTTCATTCATCCACATCATCGGCGCACCAAACCATACTATAGTTTGTAAGTTTTTTTTTTCGTTGTTTCGTTTGATTTTCTTAGTCTATTAAATATTTTATCTTCCTTCTAATATTATTATGTTGTTCATATTGATATTTTTTACAATGTTATTCGTTGTTCTTCTATTATTATTATGTTGTTCTTCTTGATATTTTTTTAATTCACTGTTGTTATTTTCGTTTGATATATCCTCTCATTCTATTAATATTCGGGTCGTCATTATATTATTCTTTTTGATAATTTTTTCAATGTTATTCGTTTGTTGTATTTTTTTCCTTTATTGGTTGCTATTTTTTATTGATATTGTCATATATTATCATTTGATCTTCGTGTTATATAGATATTGAAATTGTTATTTTGATAATGCTTATTTTGCATTGTCTTATGTTTTTTAACGTTTTTATTATAATTTTTTGTTGTTCGTTCTTTTGATGCTGTAGATATATGGATATCATCAAGGTGCGTGTAATAGATACAATGTAATTCAAAAATTGTATCATTTATAATATGGTATTTTTATGTCTTTCGATACGGGTCAACTTTATTTTGTTTATGGTGAAAATTCGTAAACAAATTTGTTTTAAATTTCTGATTCATTTTATTTATGTTATTTGCTTTGTTAACATTTTTTTATTCCACCATATTTTATTTCATTTGAACGCTTAGTTGTTCTTGATGATTTCGTTGTTATTTTGTCATTCTTGATATTAATTTTTCATTATTAGTTGTTATTTTGTCATTCTTGATATTAATTTTTCATTATTATTCATTGTTGTTTGTTTTCAATGTATTGTTGTTTCCTTAATATTTTGGCATTTCGTTGTTCTTATTTTTTATTGGTATACACTTTTATATGTTCTTATTGTTGTTTTTATGTTATTCTTGATATTTCACTTTTGTTTTCATTTTTTAATTCATTTTTTTGTTATTAGTTGGCCGTATCTTTGTATTAGTTTATAAATGACTTTTAATAGTTTCCTTTGATCATCTTATTTATTTTCCATTGGTTTCATTTGAATTATTTATTTTTTATTTGATTGATGTTGAATACACATAGATATCATATCGGTGTATATAATATGCGGAACATCGGCATAAA